TCCCTTCCACAAACAACTCAGTCTTAAGCATTTTGACAGCTTTGTACTAAAAATTGATTTGGCAATTTTCATTATGATGAGGACACAAACCTTATTTCAGTTTGGCAGACATGACAGTAAAGGGCTACCAATCACTGCAATTTTCCAGAAGCTCAATAACTAAACTAAAAAGCTTGTACATTTGCCTGTAATACTCCTACTATATTAATTCTAATACAAAGATAGGAAATATTTCATGTTCAGACTCTCTTACTGCAGCTGGTTTTATAATCTATTTGGATTGTGGAAAAAATATACAATTACAATTATCCAAACTATTGTCAACCAAAATACCTTATTTCATTCCAAAAAATATAAATTCATGCTTTTAACACAATACTCTTTAAATATGGAATCTATAAAATCAAAAAACAAATTGCATAATTGTCATAGAAAATGTTAACTGTATTTTAAAATAAAAAATAATTCTAAAATCCAATCTACAAATTATCCCCAAGTTCTAAAATCAAGTATTTATAAAACTAAGCTAAACATGTGATGCTTGAGCATAATGAGTTAATGTTATTTTAAATTACATCAGCCAGAATCACAATGCCCAACTATTACTTGAAGAATAATAACAATACTTGGGGAAAGGATTTTTAAAAATTTAACATGATTTCTAAACTGATCCAATCCTACTACTCCGGATAGTTTGCAGTAATTAAAAAAATAAAACTATTACAATAAAAGAATAAAACCTGGAATTAAGGAGAAAATTCCTGACAGTGAGGACAATTAACCAGTGGAATAGCTTGTCTCCAGAAATCGTGGACACTCCATCACTGGAGAGTTTTAAGAAGAGCTAGACAGTCACTTGTCTGAGATGGTATAGGTCCTCCTGCTTGAGCAGGGGGCTGGACTAGAAGACCTCCAAGATCTCTTCCAGCTCTATTCTTTTCTATTAAAAATTAATAAATACAGCCAGTACAAGCAGCAATATCCATAAGTTAAGATGCAAAAGCTTAAACAGAACTGCCTAGATTATCTCCTAATATCAGGGATCATCTTTACCTTAGGAGGTAAATATCCACATTGCAGAAGAAAAAAAATGCACATTTATTTATTTTTTAAAATCAACATAGAACAAGCATAATGACTATAGCATGAATATACACTCTGTATTGGTTTTTGTAATATAGTTATTGGTTGAATCCATAGAACACACTAAGCCAAAGTCAATACTTTTCTAAGTAAGGCATGAAAGGCAGCTGGGTGACTTTGGGTCAGTCACTCTCTCCCCGCCAACCCACCTCAGAGGGTTGTTGTGGGAAAAATAGCAGGAGGAAGTATTGCATAGGTTTGCTGCCTTATAAAAGTAATAAAAGTAGGATAAAAATGATAATAAACTAATTTCTGGCAAATAACTGTTTTGGCCATCCTGACAGATAAACCCATGGTTATGGGAATGTAATATGTCTTTAACAAGGCATAAATAAGGAATTCTACTGTATATACATGGGCTGGTCAGCAGGCTAATACATTTGACTATCTTGTTTACAATGTTGATTTAATAGAATAACAGAGTTGGAAAGGATCTTGGAGGTCTTCTAGTCCAACCCCTTGCTCAAGCAGGAAACTCTATACCATTTCAGACAAATGGTCGTCGAATCTCTTCTTAAAAACTTCCAGTGTTGGAGCTCTCACAACCTCTGGAGACAAGTTGTTCCATTGATTAATTGTTCTAACTTGTCAGGAAATTTCTCCATAGTTCTAGATTGGTTCTCTCCTTAATTAGTTTCCATCCACTGCTTCCTGCTTTCAGATGCTTTGGAGAATAGCTTGACCCCCTCTTGATTTGCAAATATTTAATAAGTAATAAGTATCTTAGCAGACTGTAATGTCCTGGATGTGAAAGATTAGATAATATAGGTAACTTAGAGCCTTTGGTCAACAACTACATTTTTGAGAAAGGAAGTTCTTTGTGAAAGCACAAGGATGAGAGCAGTGGTGGGATTCAGCCGGTTCGCACCACTTCAGCAGAACTGGTAGCTAATTTTTTGTTGTCCAGGCCTAGAATGGACTTCCGGAAGCGGCATCCACACAGAGAACCGGTTGTTCACAGATCTGAATCCCACCACTGGATGAGAGGTCCCTAAATTACAAAGTTGAACCTAACTCATGAAAGGGCCACTAAGAAAAGGGAATTTTCATTATAAGTAATGGATTACACAACCTTTCATCCTTTTTCTTCAGACTACTTGGTTTTTAAGAAATCACAAAGGAAAGATGCATGCAATAATTGTATTTTACCTCTCTAACTGTCAGTCTTTACTTCTCTAATATGCTGATAATTTCATCAGATACATAACCTCGTTCTGGTATAAAGACAAACTTTTTTCTTGCTATTGCTATATATAGATATAAGCTTTTCCACAACACATGTGATTTTCATCACTAGACAATTGGAATGTCAAAAATTGAAAGTGAATGATTGCATGGTTTTAAATACTTGTGTATTTTTTTTAAAATGCAAGTCATAGTGTAAAATAAAATACTATTTAACTTAGTTATCCTAAAATCCATGCTACTATCTATATATTTTGTGCCAAAATGGTCACCATGTAAACATGTTGTAATCTCTACTTTTGTGTATGCTAACAGCCTTTGAAAAATATTGATGTACATGAATGCTTCAGACTTTCCTTGCTTACATGAACATTGCTGTTTCATGTCAATTGCTATCAATGTATTAGAGGATATATTTCATGACATAAAGTCTTTAAAGTAGTAAAAATATGTGTTTTTCTCTAGAAAAAAAATCCTTACCTTGATAAACTAAAAATAAAAACTAGTTGCATTTAATTAATTACCCATTACTTGGAAATAAGATCCATTAAACTCAATGGGACTTCTGATAAATTAATTATCCTAAAATAACTATTCATGCCAGATTATAACTGGTTTCTAACAGCCATAATGTAGACTGTCTGCTTTGACCTTTTCTGTGGATCTTGCCTTTTAGTTTGTACTGTATAGTTTAATGCAACATGTGGACCACTTGCTTGACTTAAACAAGCCATAATTAAAATGACTGATTTAACACAAAAGCTATATTTCTTATCTACAATATAGATTATGTACAAATGCATATATACTTATATTACAAAACTTTATTATATTAAAGATAAAAGTTTAATAAATAACCAATGGAATATTTTCTCCCATAAATTTTTTTTATTAAAGAATCAAACTACTTCACAAATCAATTCTTCACAGCATTCTGCTTGGGCTTTAGGAAAATTGTGAAGGCCTACCTGTTCTGTCTTGCATAAGAGGAGGTGTTGTTGTAATTGAAGGTGGGGGTTCACAGTCACATGGTGTTTGTGTTTGTTTTATTTTTTGCCCTTTTTATTTTTTTATGCATTTGGAAAGGTTGAATCATTATTTTCATTTTTCTATAAGTTGACTTTATTAGCCACTCAGAGCCTTCAGGAATGGGCAGCAAAATGAGTGAATGAATAAATAAAGCCCTGACCTGATTACATGCTACTTAATCTATGTTCTTGATGACACATTTATTAAAATTAGCCTCTTAGCAATTCTATAGTGATATCATAGCTTAATTTTTCTTTAATACTGTTCAATTGTAAAATATCTCCAAGTTTTTAAATTTAGCATTAACCTGTACATGATACAAAAACCACCATAGCAACCTTTAGAGCTAGTGAATTGTATTAACTGTAATTATATTCAATTTCCTAGTTGCCATACATGGAGGAAGCTGAGCAAGAGTTTTGTAAATTGCCTTCTAAGGTGAGAATATAAAAAGAGTAAGATTTAATTTAACTTTCAAATACAGCATTCCAACAGACTACCTAATTCATATAAAAAGCCAATAAAAGGGAAAAAAACCCCAAATAAGACAGCTAAGATTACTATCCTTTGTTGTTTTTTAAAAATAAATATGATGTTAATGCCACCAAACAAAGAGCCAATGATTTCAAGTACCCTTTATACAGCACTTAGTGCGTAGTCATGGCTTAATATAAGTGCATTTACAAAATTAGCTACATGCATATCCAAGTATCTGGTTTCACAAGGCACATGCGAATAAGACACCAATACTGCTGGCCAAGAGAATTCAGTGTTTAGAATATATAATACACACACACAAAAAACCCCATCTCAATTAAATTCAGATAAGTATATCTTTAGATGAAAAATAACTTTCATTACCTCAGTATAATACTCTTCCTAAATACGTTACAAGTCATCGGTTGGGATAGCAACTGCTTTAAAATAAAGTTGCTTTATTACAAGCCCTTTTTGACACAGACCATCATAAAAAATAAACACTTGCTTAATAAAAAAATGACTAAAAATAAAAACACAACACCAATAAGACTTGATGTTTGCAGCCAACTAGTATAACAAACTTTATTACAATAAAGCCTACAACTCCAAATATTAAACCATTCTCACCGGGTTTTTGTTTAGTTACGGCGAAAAAAGATTTACGAAGGAAAACGCAGTCTCTAAATTCAACATTGAAAAAGACCCCTATATGAAGGTCCAAGGTAATATTAAATTTTAACACCGACTCTAAAACCCAACTAGCTTTGTGAAAAAAGATTTACAAAGGAAAACGCAGTCTCTAAATTCAACATTGAAAAAGACCCCTATATGAAGGTCCAAGGTAATATTAAATTTTAACACCGACTCTAAAACCCAACTAGCTTTGTGAAAAAAGATTTACGAAGGAAAACGCAGTCTCTAAATTCAACATTGAAAAAGACCCCTATATGAAGGTCCAAGGTAATATTAAATTTTAACACCGACTCTAAAACCCAACTAGCTTTGTGAAAAAAGATTTATAAAGGAAAACGCAATCTCTAAATTCAACATTGAAAAGAGACCTAGGAAGGTCCAAGGCAATATTAAATTTTAACACCGACTCTAAAGCCCAACCTAGCTTTTGAACGATTGCCATTCTGAGGTGATTACAGCACTCCACATACCATTCCTGAGTGAGGCTGTTCCCCCGGCATGAAAATAGCCATTACTTTCCCCAAACCATTGTTGCTAGTTACCTCCGAGTCCCGAAGCGAGGCCAGAGTAATCCCCTCGTAACAAGAGGAGACGGCGACCACGCCTTCCTGCTGCTCTAACAAGTTGCCAGAGGAGCAGTCGTGTCACATTTCTCCTTTCATACGCAGCGATCCTAACGATTTGAAGCCTGGTTTGGCCAGTGTAAAAAACGAAGCGAGCGAAACGGCACGAAAAGGGGGAGCAGGGTGCGGGGGGGGGGGCAGAGACGGGCGCACGCACGAAAGGGAAATTTCTAGTTCCCAAATTAAAAAGGAGGGGAAAAAAAAAAAACCTGCACCGAAAGTGAGAACGGAAGCAAAACGAGAAACGAGCTTGAACTATTTATAATAGTCAACTAGGTGCTCTTAGATAACGCCGGCGCCAAGAAAGCTCGTTTATACTTTAGTCAACCTTGGCTCTTTTATGACTCGTGGACTTCAACTCCCAGAATTCCTGAGCCAGCTTAAGCTGGCTCAGGAATTCTGGGAGTTGAAGTCCACGAGTCATAAAAGAGCCAAGGTTGACTTACCCCTGCTTTACACTCTCTGTAAATAATGTTGTTGTTTTTTTTTTTTAAAAAAAAGGGGGGGGAGGGAGATTTTTAATAGTCTTTTGCCCACACGTGACAAAAAGAGGCATCCTCGTTCAGACAATCGATGCTATCGGGGAAGAACGGGAAATTTGCAACTAAACGCCGCCAAGGCAAAGTTTTGAAAAGTATCGTCGCGAAGCCCCTCTTCTTCCCAGGATCGAGGCACGGGAGTTTAGTTGGGACCCGGGGTCCGTGCTCTAACCTCTTTCCTAAGCTGTAAACCCCAGCGGCGATTAAGAGCCGAGCAACCAAAGTCTCCGGGGGGGGGGGGGAACTAAAAATCCTCCTCCTGCGCTCGCCCTTTGGCGGAGGGCTTTCCTTCCACACCCACCTGGCTTAAGGGCAGTTTTTGCTCTCTTTTCTGGGGAAACGCCAAGCCCGATCCCCGACTCGGCTCGAACCGAATCCCCTCTTTACAGGGACAGCTTCATGTCGAGCGCGCTGGGCCCCGAAAAGGAGCAAAGCAAAAAAACCCCCAGGAAGAGCTAGAAGTTGAGGGCAGGGGGGGCGAAGTGCCTCAGCCGCGTTCCCACACCCACCGCTTTCGACCCCAAAGATCAGCGGTGGGTAGGATGAGCCCCCGAGGCTTCGCCCTTCCCGCCCCCCCCCCGGGGAAGAAAAAAAAAAAACAGCCCGACTCGCTCGCTCGCTCGCTTTCCCCGGCTCTTACCTTCACAGATCAGGCAGCTCTGGACTCCCCGCAGCCGCCGCCACCACCACCACCGCCGCCGCCTCAGCCCCCGGCATGGCCGGAGAGCTACTGCAAGGAGGCGCCTCCCAGGCCCGACTCAACCCCGGGCTGCTGTTGCTTCTGGTGCTGGTGCTGCTGCTGCTGCTGCCGCCGCCTCCTCAGCCGCTGCCATCTTGTCCTGGCGGCTGTGAGGAAAGCGCCCCACCTCAGCCCGCTCAGCTCCCCGGGCCTCTGCCTCATCTTCCCGGGGAGGGATCCAGCCTGCCGCCGCCGCCGCCACTTCCTTTGCTGCCACCGCCCACTTCGGCGGCTGTTCGCTTCCCGCTGCTTTGGCGGCGGGGCCTGCGGGAACGAGCGCAGCTGGCTCCTCCGTCGTAGCCCTGAGCCGCCCACTCCGCTCCCGGGGCCGCGAAGCCGAGGCAGCTTCCTCAACGCCGCTCCGACATGTCTCAGTTCCGTTTCCAGCCTGCGGGGATCTCCCGGCGAGCGCAAAGCGGCCCGCCCTTTTCCCGCAGCTGTAGCGCCCCCGGCTGGTTACCGGCCGCCTCCTAACTGGATTTCGCCATCCGAAACCCGCCTGCTTCTCTGGGTGAGCATCTTTTTGCCCTCGCTTGTGCTGCACGACTCTGGCAGAAGAGCCCAATCAACTGGTGTCGAGGGAGGGAAAGAGGAAGAAAGAAATCGCCCTTCCTTTCCCAGCGCCGAGACCGACCTTCAGGCGGGACGAGCAAAGGGCCCCTGCTGCCTTTAAAGGGGATTTAGGATTGCAGCCAAAAGCCAAGTCCACTTAACGGCTAGGCGGATTTGCAAGCAGATCTCTGAAAGAGCTCCAAGCTGTTTTCACTTCAATCTGCTTGTAATAAGTAGCCTGCTTCTCATTTGCTTGAGAAACGTTTTGAATAATTAAACTTTAATACGCAATTTGTTTCGCAACTAGAATTTCCTCTCCTTTGCACGGAGTATCCACATGAAAATGAAGCCTTTTGTCTATTTCTGGCCATGATGACCAACTGACCAAAAGTACTGGATACTGATGGTCCAAAAACAAGTACAATGATGGCCCCACCTGTTCTTTTCATAGGTTGTATGTGTACAATATATTAAACTAAAAAACTAAGCCCAAAAGGGTGTGTGTGGGAGGGGTACTTTCAAGTACAACACTTACTGTTACTGCAATTTTTCTAGCTTTGCCTTTCAGAGACCATCACTAACTTAACTATTTACATCTTAAATGCTTCCATTAATAATCATTATCTTGGAGAAATTGCACATTGGGCACAAACAAAAAAGAAGCATGGTTTAATAGCTACCACTTTTATTTCTCCAGAAAGCCACCATCAATAGTTGCCTAGATAATGATCACTTGATCCTAGTTCGGAACCAGAGTTTGGAACCAGAGACTCATCATTCGATTTGTTAATTCCTCATAGACCTATGTTACATGTAGATTTATCTTTATGAAATATAGATGCAAAAGATGGTTAATGAGATGCAGATCTAAGGGCTTCTTCCCAAGGTTACCGTAGCCACAATGGACTCGGATTCTTTATGCCGAATAATGAAAAAATGTTTTCAGAGATTATGACAATTTAAGCTAAACATGACCCTTAGGAATATACACTACAGATCTCCCTTGAAGCAGCCTTTTAATTTTATATACTCTGAACTCTGGTTTCATCATGAAGCCATACAAGCTAGGAAGGCCATACTTGCTACATATCATAGATATCTGCCTCACACTTCCTACTTGACAATAAACCTCTAGGGGGGGGAAATGAAGCCCCTCCTAATAGCAAAAAACAGACACTGCCAAAGAAGCTTGGCAGCAACTGAAAAACTAAGGGAAAAGCAAAATATTTAGCTATTTTCTGGAGATCTGTTGTACAACCTTTGAACACTGAGCTGCCTAGTAATGAATGACATTTCCCAGCAGCCTCTTAGGAGGCCTATTTACCTGAGCTATCTATGGGTGAATGATGAGGGCATAGGCAATTTGGTATAAGCCAAATTCATCTATCAACTTTAACTGGGGAATGTCCCAAGAGGGCATGGCATACTTCTTTATTTGTTCAAAAATCATGCTGTTTGGAGGGCCCAAGTACTGACTCATTGTTTATTTACATTGATGAGTCAACTGAAATTCCTAAATATTGATTTAGGGCTATTATTATTTTCATCTATAAGTAACATAACAAATTTCTCCCAGCAAATGATCAACTCCTAAGCTTCCTAATTATAATGGGTAAAATCTATGCCAAAAATGTACGTTGACATTGTAAAACTGGCCAGGAACAACATTTATCAGACAAACAGGCTGACTTCATATCGGAGCCTAGTTTTCTATGTTGATGGAAGTGTGTGCCATGTCCCAATAATTTTATATTTGCAGTATTTGCAAACTTTAAGCAGGCTTTTGACTCCAGTTCCTGGCAAATACTATGTCAGAAGTTAAAGGTCTTCTTCATCAATCAACGCTTGTTCACTTTCACAATTTTATGTAAATGCCAGTCTGAAAATGAAATTTAATGCAGCATGATATTTATTTATTTTATTCAATTTTGCCACCATCTGACTCCACCTTTATAATAAAACAACATAGAAAGAATCATAAAATAAATGAATAAGATAGAAAATCCAGTCAGTGTTAATCAGCTATTCTATCAACTGTTCTAATCAATAGGCTACATCCTATTCCTCTAAGGTGTAATTTCGATATTAATTATATAGTGGATGATTTAAATAAAAAAAAACATCTCCCAATTTAATAAATGATAAAATAGAAATTATAGTATAGTATATTGATTCTATTGGAGATCTCAGCAGGATTAAAAAGAACATTCAGTGCAACAGGACTTTTAGTGAGAACACGTTTTTAGAAATTAACTTTTTTAAAAACTGAAATTATAAACTTTGTAACCCCTTCTCCAAAAAAAATTCTTAAGAAATGTTCTTAGAATATCAAAGGACAAACTGTCCAGTCTAAATTTATAAGGTAATTGTCTGAGGCAGCCTGCGTGATTGTCCTAAGCTTGACACTTTGCACTGAAGCTTTTGAAAACAAAGTGAAGACTAGAACCTGGATTATTATCTTTTACTATTAAGTACAATAAGCTTCCAGTCACAAGATTTGGCTCTTCAATTGAACAATTAGACCATCTTCTTAGGTAAAGAACATAGAAATTAAACTGTTAGTATGGATTTTCCTCTCCAGGCCAGAGTTCAGATCAAGGATGATAAACATGGAGCATCAAACCAAATACAGCAGCTTTTTTACTCTTATTTCACTAGGAATATTAACAAATGCTTTAAAAACAGCCAGTTTCTGTGTTTAGATCAACTTTAGATTTCTAAATTCTACAAGCCTTTATGCTCTCATTTTGATGTTTTATCTTTAGCCATCCTAGAAGGCAGCCTTACAAACTAAAGCCCTGCCCTCTAGTCTAGAGCTGAAGTAATAGAAACTTTGGTCCTTATCTTCATATATGGACCTTTTTATATCTTAAGATAAATTAATACAACTTCATATTCAGATTTCCATGGCCAAACTAATTCATTCTAGGTTCAAGATTGTATTAGCAAATGTAGCCATATTTCAAGTAGTGGCCTGAAAAATATGGCCGCAATTAAGAATCATCTCATCTTACTTACTTCCACTATAGGAGAGTTCAATTGTACAATAAAGAGCAAAGTAGTTTTCATAGATGTCAGT